TTGAGGAACTTGCTTTTTCTCAAATAAAATTCAAGAGAATGTGAAATATGACTTCAAACTTTATTCTTTTATTTAAAATTTCGAATATAACAACTAGATAACAATCATAAACTTTCACTTTTCTTTGTTTCTCCAATACTCTATTGTTTCAAGTTCATGTTCACAATAATCCCTTATCCTACTTGAAAGCCCTTCCACAAAATTTGAAGCCGCATCATGTTGATTTGGTGGAATAGTACGCTCAACCTTCATTGCCTCAGAGTAGATTCCATTGACCAAATAGAGCACCTTTCCTCCTTCTCTCTTTAATTGATCAATTGTAGCTAATGCCTCACCCAACTGTCCCTCTAAGCTTCTTACCTCTGCTTCCAATCCTCCTATCTTCTCACTTTGATAAAATTGTCATGTTTGCATTAACACCAATTTTCCTTCATCAGTTCTTCATTATTTTGAGCTTCCTCAAATTTTTGCAACAATTGTAATTTATTGTCAAGCAAATTCTCCACTTCATTTTCAAAACCCTTAAGTCGATCAATATCACCCTACTGCTGGTTTATTAGAGTCTTTAAATCGGCACTCTGATCCTTGACTTGATTGAGCTCATCCTCCAACTTGTTTTTATTACTCACTAAATGATCATTCTGCCTTTCTTCCTTCTGGATGATTCTTCTTAATTTTTTAAGAGTTTGAGCCTGCTTGTCGATTTCTTTCTTTGCCTCCTCTTTTTCAAAAGTTATAGAATTCTTTTCCTTAATCAATTTTTGCTTTTCACCTTCGAGAAAATAAATGTCCATATTTTTCTCTCTAATTTCGTTTTCATGCTTGACCCTTTGAGCACACGACAAACCTTCTAGCTCCGCTATTCTTTTCTTCAAATCCACAATGATAGCTTCTTTAATGATAGGAATGTCATAAGGGATAACTATGTCTTGAAGCCAAACTTTCCTCCATTCTTCAAACTCAGAAGTGACTGAAATCTTGTTCCTTGAGAAACGAACTTCACATTGTGACCATATTTCCTTGGCAAAGCCAATTTGATTAATTACTTGAGTATCAAGAGAATAATCAAACCCATATGAAGTGATACCATCTAGCAATGGTTTACTTTGCCTATCACGAAATTGCCTCATCACTAATGCTGAA